CCCCAAAACCCCAAAACCCCAAAACCCCTCGACTTAAGAATTTTCTCAAAGTATGTTTTAGATTATTTGAGTATATTGGATCCAATTAAGAAATTTATAATAATATCTATATTAATAATGCAAAAGCTAGCACTAGTTGCTCTACTAGCATCATCAGCCCTCACTGCTAAGATCCCACTCATCAAGAAAGACATGACAAAGGAATAGTACTTTGCTCTGAAAGAAAGAATTGAGAACAGAAGCTATGAAAACAAATTCCTAGACAATGGTCTTGAATCACACATTCCAGTTAAGGACTTTATGAATACTCAATACTTTGTTGAAGCTCAAATCGGAACCCCAGCATAAACCTTTACTGTTGTTCCAGATACTGGTTCATCTAACCTTTGGGTATACTCAAGCAAGTGTTCAGCTCTTGTTTGTTGGTATCACTCTAAGTATGATTCATCTAAGTCATCTACATACAAGACAAATGGTGAGAAATTTGATATCACCTACGGATCTGGATCAATCAATGGATTCGTTTCCGAAGATGTTACTTCTTTCGGAGGTGCTCAAGCAAGCATGCAATTTGGAGAGATTGAAGCTGTCTCTGGACCTTCATTCTACGCTTCTCAAATGAGTGGAATCCTTGGTTTAGCCTATGGATCTATCTCAGTTGATAAGCTACCAACTTTCATTGACTCAAGCAACCTAAGTGACAAGAGTTTCTCATTCTATCTTCATGAAAACCCAGATGCCAGCTATATGACTATCCCAGGTTTCGATAGTGAGGCTCTCAATGGACAAGAACTCCAGTTCCATAATGTTGTAGAAGAGAGATACTACTCATTAAACCTTACTGGAATGAAATAAGGAGACTAAAAGGTAGATGCTACTGGATACAAAGCAGTAATTGATTCAGGTACTTCAGTTCTAGTTGGTCCTCAGCCACTTGTCAAGCAACTTATTGAAGGTATCGTTGTTAGTCCAGATTGCTCAAACGTCAGTTAACTCCCAGACATTACCTTCACCATTGATGAGACTGATTATACTCTTACACCTGATGACTATATTCTTAAGTTAACTGAGGCTGGCCAAACAGAATGTGTTATTGGAGTCATGGGTCAACTCTTCCCAGAGAGCTTCAAATACTTTATTCTTGGAGACACTTTCATGAGAAAGTTCTACTCATTCTTCGATAAGAACAACAATAGAGTTGGTTTCATTCCAAGATCCCAACTTAAGCATTGAATCAATTGACTTATTGATAAATTGTTTATCCATCAAAATCTATTTACTCAATTTTATTGTTGGGGTTTTGGGGTTTTGGGGAGATCGGAAGAGCACACG